CATCAGGCAAAATATGCAAGTCTCTCCATTTACACATTCAGGCACATTCCGCAACCAAAACCTCATGCTTGTTCAACAATTCCTATTTAGCAGACTGAAGCATATTTTCAAAACTTCACTAGTGTTTACATATGGATGTGATCTGACTCAAGTTTGCAAGCATTGAGCTTTTGCTGTATTTGTTCTGTATATTAGATTGCTCTTGCATTGTTAGTATGTTTGTTAGTATGTTATTAGTATGGGTTGGTATATTGTTAGTATGTTTTTAGTGTGATTGGTTTGTTACTATGTTTGTTAGAATGTTCCTAGTATGGATAAGTATGTCGTTAGTATGTTTCTAGTATGATTAGTTTGTTAGTATGTTTGTTAGGATGTTCCTAGTATGCATTAGTATGTCGTTAGTATGTTTCTAGTATGATTAGTTTGTTAGTATGATTGTTAGGATGTCGTTAGTATGTTTCTAGTATGATTAGTTTGTTAATATGGTTGTTAGGATGTTCCTACTATGGATAATTATGTCGTTAGTATGTTTCTAGTATGGTTTAGTATATTGCTAGTATGAACTGGTATGTTATTAGTATGTCAAATGGAAAGTCAATGGCAGTCTTTTACAATGGAAGTCCATGGGACAGTTGCTAGGGTGCCATAAGTGGTTGTTAGGGTGTGGCAAATAAGTTGAAAGGTCATCAGTGATTGGCAAATTGGTAGTCTGAGTTAATTAAGCTCAACATTAAGTATGTATGACAGTCTGGCGGAGAGTTATGAGGCCACAAAGTTTGGTCCAATGTTAAGTCAATGGGACTTTTCCAAATCTTCCGGGACATTTTTTTAAAAAATCGTTAGTTCAGGGTTCAACAATAAGGACTGCCCGATGGCCCGGGGCCAGTGTGAGAGATGTTCAGGACAATAAAGAGAATCGTTACCGGCCCGATCAGGCCAGTGCTGCCTTGTCACTACATTTTATTTTGCCTGCGACTATTTGTCAATTGTGTGCAAATACAGTCTTAGAATCGAGAAACAAGTTGTGCTTTTAAGTCTTTGAATGCTGCCTTTTCTGTGAAGTCCTAAACACCATATTGCTTTTTGGTTTCTTTTACCTGATTGGATTTTGTGAGCACGTTTTTTTTTTTTTTTCCCACAACCTGGTAAAAACCAGTACAGTGAAGAGACAGCTAAATCAAATTATTATGGCAAAAAAAAAAACGTCTGTTTCTATTCTTGTGGAAACAGATATTTACATGGGTACAACATGTGATATTTTGTATAGTTTTCCATCACTTTTAAGTCAGCCACCTTTTGATTTGCAACAAAATACCTACAAATTTTTTATACCGCTATATTTTACTGCTAAATATTTTAACATTTTAAAAATATTTGAATTCTAGATTCACAGACATTCTTTTTGACACATTATTTCAAATATATGGCTAAGAAATAGCTATTATTTATTTATTTATTTATTTAATTATTCATCGTTTTATTTATTTTGGTGGGACCAGTGAAAATTTTGTCAGGGCAAGTAAAAATCTGAACCACTGGTCCAGTCGGGCCAGTAGAAAATGACCTTAGCGTTGAACCCTGTAGTTGGATCAGTAGGAAAAGATACAGAAACCCAGGTCAGACCAGTTTGGAGGTTTGGAGGTAAGTTTGGTGTTTGTAGCTTGAACAATCTATTAGGAGATGCATATAGAAATTAGACTAAGAAGTACAAGTTTATGTGTAGTAAAACAGTATGTTGGCTTTCTCAAGGCACCATAATTAAAGAGAACATCATATTTGTTTACATAATTAGCTGTGCATCTTTGCTTTTAAACCCTTTAGCTCTCCTTTATTGTACACTACTTTAAACACCATTTGTATTAGCTTTACAACTGACGATAAAGTCTGAAAGTCAAGCATTCCATTAAATCATCCCCATCACAATAATAGCTCAATCTTCTTTCCTCTTGACTGATTCAGGTTGATTTTGGCCGTTTTCGACTAATAGGAGTACAGCGTCTCCCCCATAAAAACTCTGAGCCACATGTGTTATTAATAACTGCAGCCTGAAAACACAACAGCATTTCCCAGAAATACAGAACTCAGAGGATGTGAGATGAATTCAGGGCAGGAGAGCAACAGAATGGAAAAGCGTACAGGATTCAGATCATGTTCCACGCGTGTGTTTTATTTAGGCAGAAGAAAGAAAGAGCGAGCGAGTCATTTGTTCGTTCTGTTTTTATTCTAAATGCAGCTTTTTTTGGCCCACTGTCATCCTTTTTCCTTCCTCTTCTCGTCTATCCTTTCATTCTTCCTTCCTTCCCTTCATTTCATTCAGTTTCATCTGACAATTCTTACTCATTTGTGCAGCCAAACTGGAACATGATGTTCAGCCGCAGGCTCTATTGAGTTTCTTCAGAAACAGATGTTTTCTCACTTTGCTTTACGTTTTGCTCTCGCACTCTTTCTGCCTTGTTGTATTGTTAATTTTTTACTAAGTTTTATTTAGACAGTAATATACAGTTGAAGTAAGAATTATTAGCCCTCTTTTTTCTTTTTAAAATATTTCCCAAATGATGTTTAATGGAGCAAGGATTTTTTCACAGTATTTCTTATAATATTTTATTTTTGGAGAAAGTCTGATATGTTTTATTTCGGCTAGAATAAAAGTAGTTTTAAATTTTTAAAGATAATTTTAAAGTCAATACTAAATAGCTCCTAAAGCTTTTTTCTTATTGTTTACAGAATAAATCACCATTATTCAATGATTTGCCCTATTACCTTACTCGCCTTATTAACCTACAGTAGTTAAGCCTTTAAATGTCACTTTAAGCTGAATACTAGTGTACTGAAGAAAATCTAGTCAAATATTATTTACTGTCATCATTGCAATTATAAAATAAATCAGGTTTTATAAATGACTTTTTAAAAGCATTATGTTTAGAAATGTGTTGAAAAAAAATCTTCTTTGCATTAAACAGAAATTGAGGGAAAATGCATTCAAGGAGGCTAATAATAGAGGAGGGCTAATAAATCTGACTTCATATACTTTAATGAGGGTCGGATTTCTGTCTTCAAGTCCATCCTAGAAAGAATCACCGTTTGTCCTTTTTCTCATGACTTTATTCATGTGAGTATTTGAATCAGTATTTAACCTTTCAAATGATGTTGGCTAATGAATAAAGTTAAAGGTTGCCAAATTTCAAAATTACTTCAGTTCACTTCAGGTGTCTTTTTCCCTATCTTTGTCTGTCAGAACTCAATTTTCAAAAGCTACCGAATCAGGTCAGAGGTCATGGAGACCTCGAGTGGCACTGTTTGAAAACAACAGTTGTCCTATTTATATTGGTATGTGTTAATACTGTCTAAAGTGATTTTCCTTTTTATTCCTGATCGACTTTATGTAGTGAGAGTATCCGCTCGTTAAGTGTGACGTCACGCGAATCGGCTTCCGGGTCCAAGCGCTCTATTCAACTGAATGGGGAGACTCATGAAATGGTAATAATAAACGTTTACAAAGCGATTTAATGCTATCGAAAATCACGATGGCAGTATATATGTCCATTCCTAATATCCGATGGCCAGAAAGTGATACATTTTTTATAAATTGTTAAATTTTTGGCATTTGTTATGCAGCAAGCCCAGAGATTGTTGTGTACACTTTGATTTTATATAAAATTAACTTTGATGTGCGACAGGAATAAAACGCGATCATAAACGAATGATTTCTCCACTCACATGAATGGCGACTTGGACCCGGAAACAGTATACATACGTCACAAACACGTCACCACTTAACAAGCGGATAGCAGCCAAACAGCAGTGTGAATGTAGATTATACTGGTTTTAATCAGTTTTTGATAAAGATGGCTGAGGGTACACTCAGCCTTGGGTTAAGAAACTTTGAGTGTGTATGTGTTTGTTCAATTGTGGATCCTTTCAGAGGTCTGGGGTCAGCTCTAAACAGCCTAGTAGATGTCTGACGTTTGTATGCTTGAGTCATTGTTCAGAGTTGTACGTATGTGAGAGTATTTATGTGAGAGTATAATTGTTGTTGTTTTGAGATTGTAAGCAGAGCGTCCTACGAACTCATTGCGAGTGTTGAAGCTGGCTTCTGCTAATAAAACTGCAAACTATCTTCAGTAAACTTTATTCATTTGAATCTCTGAATCTGGCTCTTCTTCATCTGACAGTCGGGCCATTTTGGGGTTCATTCATTCATTGCCGCTTTTCTGGGGCCGGGTCACAGGGGCAGCAGTCTTAGGAAAGAACCTCTTCCCAGACACTTCCTCCAGCTCCTCCGGGGGAATCTCGAGGCATCTCCAGGCCAGCCGAGAGACATAGTCCCTTCAACGTGTCCTGGGTCTTCCTGAGGCCTCCTCCCGGTGGGATATGCGTGGAACACCTTACTAGGTAGGCGTCCAGGAGGCATCCCAAACAGATGCCCGAGCCACCTCAGCTGACTTCATTCGATGTGGAGGAGCCGCGGCTCTACTCCGAGCTCCTCCCGGGTGTCAGAGCTCCTCACCCTATCCATAAGAGTGCGCCCTGCCACCCTTCGAAGGAAACTCATTATGGCCGCTTGTATTCAAGATCTTGTCCTTTCGGTCATGACCTAAAGCTCATGACTATAGGTGAGAGTAGGAATGTTGATTGACCGGTAAATCGAGAGCCTTGCCTTTCGGCTCAACTCCTGCTTTACCACAACGGACTGGTACATCGACCGCATTACTGCTGCCGCTGCACCAATCCGCCTGTCAATCTCACGTTCCATCCTTCCCTCATTCATGAACAAAACCCAGAGATACTAAAACTCCTCCACCTGTCGTAAGAACTTTTCTCCAACCTGGAGATGACAAACCCCCTTTTTCCAGTGGAGCACCATGGCCTCGGACTTGGAGGTGCTGATTCTCATCCCCGCGGTTCAAACTGTAAATTATCCCTACACTATACTACAACTGATGTATGTTAAAAGATGTTGCTTTGGCTGGTTTTTAACTTTTTTCTCTCTTTTTCCGCAGGTTTTGTGTTGGTGATCGGTCTGGTGACGTTCTACAGGATCGGCCCCTACACTCACCTCTCCTACTCCTGCTACATAAACATCGCCGCATGCTTATTTGCCACGCTAGCAGCCGCCATGCTAATCTGGAATATTCTGCACCGCCGCGATGACTGTCTGTCGCCGTCTGTCATTGTCATCAGTCGATCTTTAACTACACCATTCAGGCCACGGCTGGACAATGACTATGTTGAGTCACCGTGCTGACACACACACACACACACAGCACATACAAAACGCATGATGGAGATTTAAATGGGATGGACACACATGCTCATGGAGAGGATTTCTAAACTATGTGAAATAATCTCCTGGATTTCAGAGCTGCGATGGAAAAAGTGACTAGTTTTGTGGACAAACAAGCAAGACTGTGGATTGTGAAGAACCCAACAGACAAAGATCAAGCTGGATCTTGACACGTTTATGTTCATAAGTGCACTTATGAGAAAGCACATTGGTATGCTTATGTATCTATTATAGTATGGAGAGGCAAATTTCGCAGTTTATGCATTTAATTTTGCTGCCAGGTCAACTGAATAGTCAATAAAGGGCCGACACACAATCTGCACTGTTACACATATTCTCTGTGTTAGTTTACAGAAAACTGCTAATTCACTCAACATAGATGTTTATTCCTTAACACAATCAGTGCTATGCTAAATAATATCCCAGCTGTAATGCGAGTGAATGGTGCCTGAGATTTTGAAGATCAGAAAAGTACATTCATGGATCATGAAAGTAATCCACCGTACTCCACGGAGTAATAACTGCCTTCTGAAGCAAACTGATAAGAGAAATACTCATACCTAAAACTGTATAAACTATTATCGCTGATTTCTGATAACTGACATGCACGCATTTATTCGCCATCTTGATTAAGGACACAATCATATTTTTTTGGCCTTTATTAGATACGACAGTATTGAGACAGGAAGCGAAGTGGGAAAGAGAGAGAAGGGGAAAGGGTAGGGAAATGTCATCGAGCCGGGATTCAAACTCGCAACGCCCTGACGTGCTATTGCACCATATGTTGGCGCGCTAACCACTAGGCTATTGCGCCGACCACAATAATATTTTTAATAATAATTTTTCAAGTATTTCCCAAGTGATGTTTAACAGAGCTTTTTCTATGTTTTGCTACGTCAGCAGACAGTCTTATTTGTTTTAGTTTGACTGGAATAAATACATAAAATCAATACATAAGGTCAATATTATTAGCCCCCTTAAGATTTCAGATTGGCTACAGATTAAACTACCGTTGTCCAGTGACTTTTCTATTGACCTAACAAACCTAGTTAAACCTTTAAATGACATTTTAAGCTAAAATGTAATGTCTTGTCATTAGGGCAAAGACAAAAGTAATCAATTATTAAAACTATTTAGCTGAAAATTCTCTACTTAAAGCAGCACTTTTTGGCTGCATTTACACTGCAGATCTTGATGGTCAATTCCGATTTTGTGACTGTATCTGATTTTTTTGATGACCAGCTTACATCACCTTTTAAAGTTTTAAACAGGTATATTTTCTAAACAAATCAATTCACTTCAGAAGACATTTTCTTTTATTCATTTACACTTCGCTAACACTTCAGGTTAGGTCACAATTTATTCTATTAAATACTGGTTTATTATCTACCTATTATTAAGATATTAAAGTCCCTAAGAAATCAAAACTAATCATATGATTTTGTTAGCTTGCATTACTAGATATGCAGTGAACAATTCATCTGTGCATGTCATAAAATAAAACAATAGTTTTGACTTTCTAATCTTTAATTGAAATCTGAAATATGCCCTTCCTGTTTGTTTTTAGTTAAGATTACGTATATTTTATGAATTGGGTGTGGCTAACATATTTAACCACGCCCCTTCAACTGTCAGTTTTGGCAACAAACAGAAATAGTGAGGAGGAGGAGGAGGAGTCTGTTAGGTTGTAATAACTCTCCTTAAACCCTTTTCTGGATTTTTCTGAATGCCTACTTTCCTACATCCAATCAGGTCTCTATAGAAAAAACAAGTCACGCCCACTGTTTTGTCATTTAATATTTTGTTTCTCTTGGAACTGCATCACAATACAAAAAAATAACAGTCGCAACTTCTGGTTCATTGGGACTTTAACTACTCATAAGTAGATCTTATTCTTCATAACTATTCCGACCCCAAACCTAAACCCAACTTCTACCTTACTAACTATTAATACAGCTAATTAGTCAATAATAAGATAGTCGTGTTAGTAAATGGTTTGTTTATACCGTGAATTGTGACCTAAAGTATTATCTATGCTTTTTATGATAGATCAAAACAATCTCACAGCGATTCGTAACTTTTTATTTAGTGGCTAATTCGTATGAATTCATACAATCTTATTCGTACAATTAAGTACGATTTGCTCATCCCCCAATGACGGTTGGGTTTAGGGGTGGGGTTAGGTGTCACGCCTCCTTTTTTGAATCGTACAATTTCGTACAACTGAACTCGTACGAATTCGTACGAATAAGCCACTAAACTGGCAAAACGCAAAATACTTATTAAATTAATATAATTTTCTCGCGAGATCAGGCTGGATAGATGTATGCGCTTTTTGGAGTTTTAAAATCTCGGGCACCATTCACTTCCATTACAAAGCTAAAAGAGAGGATATTTTTTAACATAACTGGACTATATATATATATATATATATATATATATATATATATATATATATATATATATATATATATATATATATATATATATATATATATATATATATATATGTTTATGGACTGTATGTATAAAATATAAAGTATAATTACATATTTATTTTTTAAAAACGTGAAATTCATATTTATATCTGAAAACATGGAATATTTGATTTTGACCTATTGTCATTTCTGCAAATAAATGGTCTAAATGATAATACTCTTGACATTTTGAAGACATATATAAAGTTTATAAAATACAACACAAATAAACATTTTACTCAAAACACACTCACACACACACACACACACACACACACACATTCACACGCACACACATTCACACACACCTATTAACGGCAGACCAAACAATAACATTTAATTGGCCTCTTAATTTTTTTTTTTCCAAAGCTGTACACAATGCAAATCTAAAGGTGCAGATTCTGTGTTGGTCTGATCATTAGGTACCAAAAGAATTGTAGTGAATTCATTCATTTCCTTATATATAATCTACAAGATGCCAATAATAAAATCTGCATAGTTACTATAACTGAAATGGATCGTATTTTAAGATTGACTGGAACTATATCAGTTCAGTATAAAATAGACAACATTTGCTAACCTGTGCCTGTGGTACCCATTTATGTCTATAACATAGAGCTATATAAAGTATATTATTAAAACTTCACGTTTCACTTTGAGCAGGACTGATAAAATATTAATAAAAGTAAAGCCATTCAACTCACAGAAGGGGTTTTCTGAGTTTGACTGTATGTGAGAGAGATCTGTGAGAGTCAAGGACAGTCTGAATGAGAGGAAATGAATGGAGACACACACACACACACACACACACACACACACACACACACACGCACTTCACAGTGACCCCTGATTCCAGACTGACACTCCGGTGAGGGTAATTAATGTTTCTACATTCTACATTCATATTATTTGTGTAATTAAAGAGAAAGTTCAGTCAATAATGAAATGTTGCTGTTGATTCACTCACCCTCATTCAATATCACTTAAAGTGTTCATTTGCAAAAACACATGATTTATGAAAATCTATAAAAACTAGGGTCTATGAGGTTTCATTAGTTAATGTATTTACAAAACTAAGAATGATTAATACTTTTACAGCAATCATTTACTAAGGCATTAATAAAATCCAAAATAATGCTTGTTAATATTAGCTAATGCACTGTGAGTTAACAAGAAATAACAATGAACAGCTTTATTACCATTAACCAACATTAACAAAGATGAATAAATACTGAAGTAAATGTTTTTGACATTGTTAGTTCATGTCATGTAAATACTAATACAACATTATTGCAAAGTGTTCCCAAAACTAATACTTGTTTTAGCAAATTAACCTTCTTCAGTAGAATATAAAGCAAAGATATTTCTCAAAGTCACTTTAAAAGTCAAAAAACAAGATCAATCGGTAACACTTTATAATAACTAATTTGTCATTTATAATTTGTCATTTATAATTTGTCATTTATAAGGGATTTATAAAGCATGAATAGTCCTCACTTTAGATTAGGTCACAAAACTCCATGAAGTTGAGTTAATAAAGCATTTATTAACATATTAGTTAACTATTAGTCTATGCCTGAATAATAAGAATTATAAATGTTGATTTCAACAGTTTATTAATCATTTACTAACTCATTCTGAATAATCCTAAAAACCTTCAACTACTCTTAAATCCAAACGGTTTGTAAATAATGTGATACTTAATTTAGTAATGAAAAATAAATCATTAACTAAGTATGAAAATACAATCATTAAACGCATTATATAGGTGCTTATAAGTCAAGAATACAGCATTTGTTGCTGCAGTTATAAACTGCTTAGTAACGTTTATTAATGTAGAGTTAATGCTTAACAGATAATGAGTTCACTATTTGCTAATGCTTAACAAATGATTTATAGTGTGTAGTTATTATAAAGTGTTACCGATCAACCCTGTCTCCTAATAATCCTGTCTCCTGATGATACATTGAGGTTTGATTTTGTTATTATCAAAATTACATTTTTAAAAATATTTTTACAACATTATTAATATTATAATAATTAAACATTATTATAATCAATCTGCTATTTTACTCCAAAGAACTCCATTGAAAAAACAGAAACTAAAGGGTTACTGCTGCCAACTTATGATCACCAGAACGAAAATGACACATTTTACCTCCTCCCAACAGGGAAAACTATGAGGTGCCGAAGTGGACAAATGTCAAGCGAATGCAGAGAGACCGAGTACACGCAAAAGAGACCGAATGTATGCGGGAGAGAGGCCCAGTGGACGCGAGAAAGGCCAAGTGCACACGAGAGAGACAGAGGCCGAGTGCTGGCGTGCGATAGAAATCGAGTGCTGGTGCGCGATAGAGACAGAGAGACTATTAAAGTTACTTTACTTTAATTAATGGTATGAAAATTCAGCTTCTTGCTCTAAATATAGAGTAATTATTTTACATTTTATTTAGTTTTAAGCACTTATCATTGTGTCCTGTTGTGGAAATGGGATAATCCTATCAGACAAGCTTTAAGAATTTTTAAAATTGAATTTTAAATAGTCTGTACCATGTAATGTCTTGGGGACACAAACGGCACTGATTAGTAGAAATGACCCAATACAAATGTTTTGGTGATACAAACTTGAATTGAGAGAGATTTATAATACAGAGCCAACTCTTGTTCAAGCTTTAATTGTCCAACATGTTTAGGGGACATCTAATATTAAGTTTCATTATTTTGTTGCACTGCAGTAGCCTACTGCTAAAGCGCTGCAATAAAAATGATCAGAGCTGTCATCACAGCAGCGAGTTCACAGAATTTCCTCCTCTGTTGCAATTGTTTTGTTATTGGATGATTGAACACTTTTTTAAATCCCTGAATAAAACCGAAGTCCCTTTATAGTATTCTATAGCCTTTGCTTGAACCCATATAAAGAAAAGAAAATACTGTCAATTTAAACTGGTTTAGTCTGATTTATTTTGTCTTTAGCTCTATAAGGGGTTACTAGGGTTATTGCACTGCTAGTGTATCCCATGTAGCACTGACTTTATAAATATTATTTTTATTTTTTACTTATAAATATATAAGTTGGCACCCCTACCCAGTCAGATCGCTACAATCAGTTTGCTACATTACAGGCCTAATGACTTAATAAAATATAATATTGGCCTATATATAATGGTGCTCAACATATCTGCTTAAAGTTTAATACACTGTTTAAGTATAAATGCACATTTCGAGATATTAATCAAATTTTCCCATTTTTTTATTAACATGATCACTTTCAGTATTTTTTAGAACACACCCGAGTAATAAAAAGCATTTTCAAGTCAGCAAAACTGCTGAAATTATCTTAAATAAACTGCAAATTAAACTTCACAAACGTTACAATTGTGTTACCAAAACATGGAAACAAAATAGTAAATATAGTAGTATTAGTAATAGTAACTTTAATAGTCTCTCAGTCTCTCTCGCGCACCAATACTCTGCCTTTCTCACGTGCACTCTGCCTCTCTCCCGTGCCCTCTCTCGCACTTATTCTGTCTTTCTGCGTTCACTTGACTTTTGTCCACACTGGCGCCTTATAGAAAACCACCAACAATGAAGAATGCATGGTCATATCATGGGTTATACGCTGTAATGACTTTGCAATCAGAAAAAAGTCATTATAAATGGAAGTCAATGGGAAAACAGCCACCAACATAACGAAAGGGTAATCAATATGCACAGTACACGAGGGTTAATTAACAAAATACTACAGATGTTGGGCGAGGCAGTGGCGCAGTAGGTAGTGCTGTCGCCTCACAGCAATAAGGTAGCTGGGTCGAGCATCGGCTCAGTTGGCGTTTCTGTGTGGAGTTTGCATGTTCTCCCTGCGTTTGTGTGGGTTTCCTCCGGGTGCTCCGCTTTCCCCCACAGTCCAAAGACATGCGGTACAGGTGAATTGGGTTGGCTAAACTGTCCGTAGTGTGTGTGTGTGTGTGTGTGTGTGTGTGTGTGTGTGTGTGTGTGTGCGTGTGCGTGTGCGTGTGCGTGTGTGTGTGTGTGTGTGTGTGTGTGGAGTTCCCCCAGAGATGGGTTGTGGCTGGAAGGGCATCCGCTGCGTAAAAAACTTGCTGGATAAGTTGGCGGTTCATTCCGCTGTGGGGACCCCGGATTAAAAAAGGTACTAAGCCGACAAAAAAATGAATGAGTGAATACAAATGTCATGATACAGATTTGGAATGATGGTAGGGTGTGAATATAACACCCAAGTTACTACATTCCGGTGAACTAACCTATAAAAGGTCAAAGGTTAAAGGCCATGTAAATGAATGTGCCCCAGAGCGGCCCTACAGGCATCCGTCACCGTTCTTGAGAATTGTTAAAGATAAGCATCAATAGATCACTCAACTCCAGCTCTTTTCCTCTCCTCCGCGTTTCATCTGTTGCTAAAACGAACTAAAACAATACAGCAGGAATGTACAGTACACACACACCCCGTACAGTCATGGAAATCTGTGTCTTTTACTGTAGTGCTCTCATACACACAGGCGTCTTTTGGGAAGCTGCTACACACACCTACATATAAACATCAGTAACCTTACAAGCACGCAAAGTACAATTACAATTCCCATTATAAACATGAAACGCGCACACACCCTTCCCAAAAAGCCACTTCTGTATATTTCATCCGGACAAGGAGACGACAGTGTGTGTGTGTGTGTATGTGTGTGTGTGTGTGTGTGTGTGTGTGTGTGTGTGTGTTTAGATCACTATATCCTCTTTGGAATGATGACATGGAACTGCATTTTGTCAAATCAATGACAATGCAAAATACTATGTAAATGCCCGAGGAACTCATTAGTAAATCATTGTTATGATAAGCATCTCCATTCACTGTAATAGATGGTAAATAGCAGTCATGCCATCATGCACGTCGCCCGGAGGATGTTTCACTCAGTCACAGTGATGAAGTCAAACAGACTGTGGATTACTTGCGTTTTAAAACTTAGAAAGCTGCCTAGTTAGAGAGTGTTTTAGACAGCAACATAAGAAACTTTTCAGATGATTAGAACTTCCAAGAGTTATTTTTGTGTTATTTATACATTATAAAAGATTTTTAAATTTAAAATAGAATATTTACATTTTAATTGTAAAATTTCCTTTTCTTTTCTGGGATTTCTGACATTTTGAACTTCGTTTTAATATTTTGTCATTTATATATATATACATACATGGCTTTACATTAACACCCGTCAACCCGCCAAATGCGGGTAGATTTCGGCGGTGGCGGGTAAGACAGACACTCCCACTAGCCACTTTGGCTGGTTGAGAATAATTTTCCCAGATAATAATTCTTAAAAGCAGGGTTCGACAATAAGGATGCTCCAATGTGCATGCACAGGCGATCGAGAAGCAACACGACTAACAAAAATAATTGCGTTCGCAACTTCGCGCGAGCAAAGCAGGTGAATACCGAATGAGAGGATAATCACTCGCGCTAACAGCTGAGGTGATGCGCGCGACTGTTCATAACGCATGCGCGCTCCCGTTTCCTTTTGTGAAGCAACTGTGTCTAGAAACACAACTGATGCGATCGATTCTCTTTCAAATAGACTGAACAAAAAGGGAGGAACCTGCACCTACAGTCTTGCTTTCTAGAGTTCCAGAGTGTAAGCAGCGTCAGTTGCTTTCGGTTTAACCATACTTTGAAAAGATAATTTATGGGTCTATCATTAACCATGCATGTGTGATCATCATTTCATTATCACACAGTATGTTTTTTACCTGCTTTCTTTCGCATTAATATGGTTTAATTATCGTTTTTTACAATAACATTGCTTTAATGGGAGAACAACTCCCCATTTATGTGTAGTAAACTGGTGATCTGGAACTTTTAGCCAGGACATATGACTGTGCATATGTTTTGTTAAATAAAAAGTATAGTATTCAGCTATAATTAGCATGTTTTCACATGAAAAAATATTTTCCCAACAATAAAATTGTGGCTAGTGAAAATGGGGAGTGGCTAGTAATGTTGGAAAACTACTAGCCACAGTGGCTGGTGGTCAAAAAAGTTAATCTTAAGCCCTGTATATATATATATATACATATACATATATATACAGGTCTTAATGGAGTCCAAAAAATGAGCCAACTTTTTGACATGGAGATGCACGTTAATGTTTATAATAGGTGGAACTGGCAATGTGTGTCAGCTGGCCACTTGTGATCTAATTCCAGAAAACATGTTGGTGATCACTGAAACAATGGCAAAAACACACTACATGTCGAAGATATTAGAAAAGCAGTGAGACATGGACCATGGTCCACAAAGTCCACATGAACCGGAAGCTGCAACCATTTTTTTTTCATAAAGAAACCGAGAAAAACAGAATATTAAATGAGAAAACAGTGGGCGTGGCTTGTTTGTTCTACTGCTAGCTGATTGGATGTAGTAAAGAAGGCATTTTATCCAGAAAGATCGGGTTTTGGTTTTGTTATTACAACCTAACAGACTCCTCCTCCTCACCATTACTGTTTGTTTTCAAAACTGACAGCTGGAGGGGCGTGGTTAAGTATGTTAGCCACGCCCAATACATCAGACAGACCTAATTTGAGAATTTAACTGAAAACAAACAGGAAGTGCATTTTCAGATTTCAATTTTAGATTACAAGAGCAAACCATTGTTTTTTTTCTTAATGACATGCACAGCTGAATTGATCACCACAAAACTAGCAACACCAGCTAACAAAATCAATGCTATTTTTGATTTCATGTGACCTTTAATACTAATATGGTTTAAAAATACCCTAAAGTGACTTAAATTTTCACCTGTGGTTGTAATCTTAATCAATCTCGCATGATAATCTCACTGATACACCTGGTCAGGTGTGAGAGAGTGTGTGTGCTTTTACCTCTTGATGAGTTTGATGGCTTTAAAGGCTTCATCCATGTCTCCTATGGTGAGGTAGAAGCTGAAGTTCAGCATGGCGTCTCGGGTCTGCTTCTCACAGCCCTCCAGCCCAACAAAGTCTCGAAGAGCTTGTCGCACCACCATCTGAGGAGATGAAGACCCCTGGGCCGAGCTGGAGGAGACCACAGACCCCTGATCGCCACTCTCACCCAGCTGAAACCACAGAGATACACTTCATTAAAGCTCAACCATTAATGATAAACAAGTACGGAAACACATTCAGAAAAGAAAAGAGAGATGATTCTTCTCCTACAAGGCTGCTATGTGATTGTGAATGTACTCACATAGGGGAGAACGACGCATCCCCTTCGAAATAAGAGCTTTACAGCGACAGGATGATCAGAAAACCAGAATGAGGAAAAGAAAATGATGCATGCAAGAGAAATAAGGAGAAAAATAGAAGTATGTGAAGGGGTGAGAAAGAGATGCATACAGATTCACAAGAGCTGTTCGATATTGACTACTGTTATGTATTTGTGTTTTTTGTGCTCTGTTTCTCTCTGTTTTTTTCTCTCTCGCTCTGTTCTCCCATATCTGCTTTCATGTATTCTCAGGTTCCGTTCATTGGTCCATTCAGCTGTCAGTCAATCCTCCCCGGTTACATCACTCTTACGTCACATCCAATAAGCAAAGACCGCCCGTGTTAAAAGCGCGCACCAGACCACTCGCCTTCCCTTCCTTGCATTGTTCTCTTTCTCTGCTTTGCCGTTTGTTTGTATTTATCGCGTGCGTTTAAGTAATAACACGTCTAACTGTGTTTTGTTGTTGCTCGTTTCTGTGTGCACGTTATCCGTCCGTTATTCGTACATCGTTCTTAGTTTATCGTTGTTTACGAGGCTTGGACGAAGCGGACAGGTAAGAAGGTCACGTGACATACATATTGCAACACATAGAACTACTCTGCTGTTTAGTACACTAGGTTAGGGGCGAGCGCCACTCCTTGTACTTTTGTATAGATAGAGTAGATAGTTAGGACTCGGAAGATCTTTGCGTGTTAATTATACTGTTTTTCATCTAGAATCTAGTTATGCTTTATTTCATAATTAAAAATCTATACTTTGTGTTTTTGTGCAGGTCTTGACTGGTTTGGATCTATCATGGATCAATAAATATAACAGTCAATCTGCCTGTAGGTGGCAGCAAGCCTCTGTCTTAAAAGGAACATATCATGGAAAAATCACTTTTATGAAAGGTTTAAGCACAGTTGTGTGTCAGCAGTGTGTGAATACAGTATAAGCAGGTTCTATAGGTAAAAAAATGTATAAAATCTATGGTTTATAATCACACTTGATATAAACAATCTGCAGAAACACTTTGATTGACATTCTCCCTTTGTACATGTCATCAGAGGGGGAAAGCCCCGCCCATTACTGATGACCTCTCCCTCACTATCATAGGTCGTTAGTCTTGCTTTTGATTCTGCCACTATGCCGACACACAGGCACTCTAGGGACATCAAAGACTTATTTTACATCTTGTGAAAAGGGGCATAATAGGTCTCCTTTAATTAGTGAATCGTTGAATATTTCACTTAATTAATTTGTTCAAATAAAGATCTGCTGTTTTTTTTTTTAAACCTTTATTTTACCAGAAAGAAACCTCTTGAGATTTGTAATCTCTTTTTCAAGAGTGTCCAGGAAAAACAAACAATAAACTTCATAGACAACATATCAAAATAAATCAATACAAATTACAATGAAATGAATACACCAAATAATTGTACCACCGAAACATATCCATGCTCCAAATAAAATATGCAGTAAGATTGTAAATTAGAGAGGAGCTGCTCTTCAGCAGTGTAAGTCTCATTTATATTTTTAATATTTCCCATGCAAAAGTTGTGATTTGTAAATAAAGCTGGTGTACGCAAACTCTACATAAACATTTTTAACTTGAATATTGCCTTCATTTGTCCCCTTTAAATCATCATAGGTTTCCCAAAGATGGGTTGCGGCTGGAAGGGCATCCGCTGCGTAAAAACTTGCTGGATAAGTTGGCGGTTCATTCCGCTGTGGCGACCCCGGATTAATAAACGGACAAAGAAAATGAATAAATGAATGAAATCATCATACGTGTCATAATCATTAATAAATAAATCTAAATTTATTCTGTCTTACATTTACTTTTGGAAAGGTCTCTACACAGTTTTATAAATGAGACCACCGAACTTAACTGAACTTTAATTGACAGTAACATTTATACTAAACTGAAATTATGAAGTTTCAATTTACTAGAACTACACCAGCATTCTACACTACTCTCCTGCCTTGGGCTGCACAATATATTGGTTCAGCATCGATATCGCAATGTGTGCATTTGCAACAGTCGCATCGCAGGATCTGCAATGTTAAGTTGAGATTATAGTTGAGTTGTAACCATAATAGAATAAACATGTACAATTAGCATGTGTTTTTAAGGTCTGTGACAGTGTGAGAATTTCAGAAGAGATTAAAGCATAAAGGCAAAAGAAACTGTATAATTTATAACTTTAAAAAAGATTAATTAGATAGAATTATTATTATGATAAAGACTATAGTTTTATTTGACATTTGTGAATTCAATTTTCGTACCTAAATACTATAAAGACTGCAGAGCACTGTTTATTTCATTTGTTTTATCTTTGCACAGATGTATTTATCAATGCTTGAAATGGGTATTTTCATTCATTCATTCATTCATTTTCTTGTCGGCTTAGTCCCTTTATTAATCCGGGGTCGCCACAGCGGAATGAACGCCAACTTATCCAGCAAGTTTTTACACAGCGGATGCCCTTCTAGCCGCAACTCATCTCTGGGAAACATCCACACACACATTCACACACACACTCATACACTACTGACAATTTAGCCTACCCAATTCACCTGTACCGCATGTCTTTGGACTGTGGGGGAAACCGGAGCACCCGGAGGAAACCCACGCGAAAGCAGGGAGAACATGCAAACTCCACACAGAAACGCCAACTGAGCCGAGGTTGGAACCAGCGACCCAGCGACCTTCCTGCTGTGAGGCAACAGCGCTACTGCCTCGCCGAAATGGGTTTTTTTTTTTTATGTAAATGATTCAATCCCCAACAGAAATTAAGGAATTCTTTCCAAACAAAGCAATCTGGATAAATTGTATTTATATCTCAATATATATTGCAGGAAAAACTAAATATCGCAATGTCATTTTTTCCAGTGCTGTACAGTCCTACTCCTGCCTGCATGAATGAATTGGAATGTTTCCACAATGTGAAATATGATGTCTTTAACTTTAAAGTTAAGCTCCTCTGACACAATCCACATTGTAAAAAGCTCCATCAAATAAAGATGAATATCTAACACCCCTCGCTCATGAAGAAACAGCTTTTTATGTGTGTTTTGTACCTTGCAGATATAATAGTAGTATGGTGTATCCAGAGCCAGCAGACCAAGCAGTGCTGCAGGTTTAGGCTGCGAGTCCTGCAGGAGGAGACCGTGTTCCTGCGTCACAAAGAACGTCACCACCATCACATCCTCCTGCCAAGAAAAACAAAAACAATTTATATATAATATTTTTATATGATTCAGGTCTGTTTTGAGAGACAAGATAATAATAATAACGAGTTTTATTAATGAGGCACTAAGATAAAACGAGATAATAAAAACAATAGACAGTGTTACAGGTTTGTGACTGGTTTGTTCTGTTTCCTGGGTTTTGCTTTCTTTTTCTAAATAAGTGATCAGTATGAGCAGGTGTGGCTAACTTGATGGCTTATTTAAGGAGCTGCAAAGACATGTTGCAAAGTCTGCTTTGGAGGATTGTTTCCATTTGACTTCATTTTGCTTACCCATCGCTTATTTACCTTTTGTTTAATTTGGAATTTGATCTTATGTTATCTGTTGTTGTCTTGGACTTCATATGTTATGTTAGACATTTCATTTACATATAGGTTACATTGGTACTCCTTTAAACTTTATTTATTTATTTTTTTTGTAACCCTGAATAAATATATTTTTTGCTTTTTCATTCTATTTGGTATGATTCTCTTCATTTGTTGTGTGCTTGAGCCGGCACGTAACAATATTATAATAAAAGATAAGAAAACACAGATCAAGTCAAAACCCTTAATCAATAACATATTCATGACAAGCATTTTTAGAGCTTGGAATATTACAACTCTTCACTGGGATCACTTAAAAATGTGTGGCGAAGAGATTTTGAATATAATTTTAATGACGATCAGTGTAAGACTATGTGCAAGAATACTCTCATTCCCCTTTCCAATAACAGAATAATTGAAAAAATTACAAGTTTATGGGGCGAGGCAGTGGTGCAGTAGGTAGTGCTGCCGCCTCACAGCAAGAAGGTCGCTGGTTCGAACCTCGGCTCAGTTGGCGTTTCTGTGTGGAGTTTGCAAGTTCTCCCTGCCTTCACGTGGGTTTCTTCCGGGTGCTCCGGTTTCCCCCACAGTCCAAAGACATGCAGTACAGGTGAATTGGATTGGCTAAATAGTCCGTAATGTATGAGTGTGTGTGTGAATGTGTGTGTGGATGTTTCCCATAGATGGGTTGTGGCTGGAAGGGCATCCGCTGTGAATGAATGAATGAATATAAGTTTCTGCATAGGATGTATCTGACCCCAGTTCGTTTGAGCAAAATGTACCCTAATGTATCATCCAAGTGTCACAGATGTAAAACCTATTCAGGATCAATCATGCACGTTTTTTGGGAATGCAAAAAGCTAAGTTTTTCAGGAAAGCAGTACAGGACTTTACAGCCAAAGGTTTGCAAGTTCCATTGGACAACACACCAACACTATACCTCTTTGGTACAGAACTGAACAAGACACTTGATCCTACTTCTATAAAGAGACTCGGCATCATCTCCTATCAAGCAAAATAATGCATTTTGCTGAACTGGAACCAACAAAGACCTCCAACATTTGAACTGTTCGTAAAACTCCTGAATGAAACAATGCTCTTGGAACAACATACTTAAAATACAATACTTAAAATAATGCTTAAAATACAAAGGGGATTCCTTTCAAAAAATATTGATGCCTCTAATGATCCTCTGACTCTATGAACACATCTGATGTATTTTCATAATATGTGTGACCTTAATCACAGCATAACTTTGTGTATTAGTATTTTTGCATTTTGTTTGTATGTTTACTTATTTCTTTATTATTATTTTTTATTTATTTAAGTATTGATTGTTTTTCTCTTTGCCTTTGCTGCTATACTTGTCTACCGATACACTTACCTTTGCCCTTTTTTTGTTTATGTTTGTATGTTCATTAAAACCAATAAACAAATATATATATATACAGGGGGGCTAATAAGTCAGCAGGGCTCATAATTCTGACTTCAACTGCATACACAGTAAAGAAATAAAGCTGCAGGTCATATAATGTAGTACTTTACCTTCTCTGTTTGTCTTTGCCTGCTGCCGTGGAGGTCAGAGTTCACAGACACGGTTTCACACACAAACAGACGAGGCTCGTTCTCATCCCAGAACTGAGAAACAGGGCATCGAGCGGCCAGCTCCTCTTCACAACGACTTCTGCAAATCAAAAAACATTTTCCACAGTCAAATTTAGCTTGTCTAATGGTGTATCTGTGTTTTTTCTGTTATTGTAAGTAACAAACACAAGTCATCTGGCTGTACCTCTGACTGTCCTCAGACTGTTCAGGGCTGCTCTGTGGCCTCCCCGTGAAGAAGTCAAAGTAAGACAATGTGTCCAGCTCGATGTCATAGAAATACACCCTGTTATCTGGCCGTCCGTTTATCTAAAATGCACAAAATGGTCATCATTTCGCCCAAATGTCACACTTGACTGTACAATGATAATACCGTATTTTCCGCACTATAAGGCGCACCTAAAAGCCTTAAATTTTGTTATAAAACGGCCATGCGCCTAATAATCCGGTGCGCTTTATGTGTGCACGGAGTTCAAAAATCTGTCTAATCTGGACAGTTAGAAGACCAACTTGAATGAATTCGGAGCTTGCTGTCATTCCGGGAGGACTAACAAAAGAACTTCAACCGCTGGATATTGGTGTAGACGGCGTTTAAAGTGAAGTTGCGAGCTGCGTGGGAGCAATGGATGACAGACGGCGAACACACTTTTACTAAGACTGGTAAGCATGCCGGGCGAGTTACGCCACCATATGTGAATGGATTGTGGATGCCTGGGCTTGGATGTCTGCTTTAACTGTTGTCCGAGCTTTCGCAAAAGCCGGAACAGCCACCCGGCAATGAGACTGACTCCGACAATGATGAGAGAGAACCCGGCGTGTTTGATGACGAAACTGCCCAGCTGTTCAATTCAGACACAGAAGATGAGGACTTTGATGGATTTTTGGGAGAAGACTGATTGAAAAAAATAATAATGTGAGTGTATTGTTAAATAGTACAATAAAGTTCAACTAAACTATGTTAACTGTTTTGCTTCCATTACCTTTTTTGCAGACAGTGTATTTTAGCGTGCGCCTTATAATACAGTGCGCCTTATGTATGGGTCAAGTACAGAAATAGACCCCGTAATTGAGACTGCGTCTTATAATCCGGTGCGCTTTATAGTGCGGAAAATACGGTAGATTTATTTTATTTGCTATTTTATTTCCACAATTTGTCATAAAAACACTTTTATAAATCTATATTATATATAAATTGGGAGGCACGGTGGCTTAGCACTGTCACCTCAGTGCATGGGTTTCCTTCGGGTGCTCCGGTTTCCACCACAGTTCAAACACATGCGCTATAGGTGAATTGAATAAACCAAACTGGCCAAAGTGTATGTGTGTGTGTGTGTGTGAATGTGTGAGTGTATGAGCGTTTCCCAGTACTGGGTTGTGGCTGGAAGTGAATCTGCTGTGTAAAACATTTGCTGTAATAGTTGGCGGTTCATTCCGCAGTGGTAACCCCTGACAAATAATGAACTCAGCCGAAGGAAAATGAATTAATTACATACAAATTAAAGCATATTTGAGACAAATTGTGGAAATATAAGTGCAAATAAAAGAAATCTATTATTATTGTACCATCAAATGTGATTATCATAATCACAATGTAAGCAATACTGACAATGAGCAATACTGACAATGTTTCTTATGTGTACATTTTAAGAGGAATTCATTAAAATAATGGTGAAAAACACTATCATTTCTATTTTTTATATTTCTATTTTCCATTTCTTTTTCCTGAATACTGTTACTTTTTCCTGAATACTGTTACTGGAACAAGGTAATGCTAACTTTTGTGTCAATTTTATTTTTAGTCAGCACAGCAGCTTATTTTATATCAAATCTGAATTATATTGAATATTGTGACTTACATCATTGCTTATCTTTGCATTTTTTCTCAGTAATGCTATTTTAAAAGTCACAACCTACTTTTAAAACAACAAAGTGTACATTTACTGCATTTACTACTATTTTTTTTAATGCCTTTTAATAGTGGTGTAACGGATCACCAATCACAAGGTTCGGATCACACTATGGTTTTTGAGGCACGGATCGGACAATTTTTCAGATCAGCAAAAAAGGAAGGAGACAGATATCAATTGCTTTTCATTTATACAAAAATACTACTGCAAAAACCATTGGTTTACAAACCACCTAGAACCTGTAATTTTTTTTATAAAAAATAAACATCAAGAAAGAACCAGCTGAAAAAAAGGAACATTTTCAATATAAAAAATAATCTTTGCAGCTGTTGCTGATAATTCTAAATATAGAAATCTAAAATATTATACTACATATCATATTTATTTTAAATTATTGATTCAACAATTCACACACAAAACTTCGTGTTTAATTATAGGTGGATCATTTTTGAGAACCTATTCAGTGACATCATTTTGGAGGTTGTTTGATGCCACCCATTGGTTCCATTAAACAGTGATTTTAATCTTTACCATAAACATCAACTGAGCTAGCTGAACTATAAACTGTTCTCCCAGTACTTCTGTGTAATTTTATTGTTTGTAACGAACAGAAAACTGAATCTCTCTCGATCAAATGCAGATTTGAATGTAGCGCTTTGAAGGATTAATAAACATGCAAATCATTATCATTCATTTTGCGCGAGTTAAAAATGAGATCATGGTCTTTTAATGTTTAATTGTGCAGCTTTACACTGAATGCATTACAGCAGGCTAAACAAACAGTGACAGAAAACATCTTAAATTAATAACCTAAAAAAAAAGCCTTTCGGTAGATCCCACAACTTCTTCCTCTTTCATTATGTTTTACAGGGAAGCCAAAATTCTTTCATACACATAATTTCAATGACTGCAATTGTTAATAATGTTGAATTTACCTACAAGTTAAAAAAAAGTAAGTTATCCATGGGTTACATAGGTTCTTTGGGTTGTGATCCATCAGACCCCTACCTTTTAATAATATTTTTCAATTTATATTAATCCCAAACACAAAATTTACACATTTTATTATTTAGTTTATTCATAATTTAGACTAACATGACCATTTAATTTGACCTGCTTCATTTCAGAAGTTTTGTTTTAAATAACGAGAGTGAAAAACTGCATGATTTTTTTTTGCACCTGTGTAATGAGGACACTAATCTGGCTTCCGCTGGCGTTGCATTTGACTGATCTCAGAGCACCCAGGTCAGAAATGAGCTCTGAGAGGTTCTTTGTGACACCCAGGGGTTTGGCCTCCCTATGCACACAAACAAACACATTACACACATATTGATTTACACATGTTTGTGTTGAACAGTGTGAGTGTGTGTTTACCTGCGAGTGAGGTCAAAGACCCTGATGTGACAGGTATCTGTTCCCACAGCCAGGTAAGATCCACAGACACTCAGTAGAGTCGGGTTTCCTTCCGCTTCAGAAAACACCAACAACTGCTTCACGGTGCCCTACACATTCACACACACACAAACAGTCACTGTGTGATTTCCATAAGAGTCTGGATGTGTTTCTACAGATTTATAGTACAGTGTCTCTATGTGTGTGTATACCTGTGGTGTGCGGATCTGGACACGGTTTGGTTCTATAGTATAAATGTTTTCTTCATGCAGCGCAAGAGCAGGAGACTCACACTGGAATGAGCCTGATAATAAAAACAACAGAATCCTCATTAAACAAATCAAATACAAACAGACTGAGATGTAGGTTGGTTCAGATTTAGTGTGGTCCTGTTGTTTCATTATTTAGTTTTTTTGGAGATTATGGTACCTGTGCTGTGTAACGTTTGTCCTGAAGGCTCATAAACGGTGATCATTTTCCCATTCCACACCGCTACCATATTCTATCCAAACAGAACAAATGATGTAGAAAAAAATTAAACCATATTCTTTAAGCAAAGCAAGAACATTCTAAAATTATATCGCAAAAAATACAAATGAAATTAATGAAAAGATTAATAAATAGATTGATATATTTTTAGATTTTGTGTGCATCTATATATCTTTTATGATATATATTTACAAATATAGACATTTATACATGCATATATAGCTTATTATTCTCAGTTTTTAAATTAACTGAGAATAAAACGCTATTTACAAATGCATTATTAAATTAACTGAGAATAAAACGCTATTTACACATGCATTATTAAATTAACTGAGAATAATACGCTATATATACAGTTGAAGCCAAAATTATTAGCCCTCTTTTGAATTTTTTTTTCTTTATTTAAATATTTCCAAAATGATGTTTAACAGAGCAGGGAAATTTTCACAGTCTGATATTATTTTTTTCTGGAAAAATTCCTATTTGTTTTAATTAGGCAAAAATGAAATTAGTTTTATATTTTTTAAAAGCCATTATGAGCCCCTTTAAGCAATATTTTTCCCGATAGTCTACAGAACAAACCATCTTTATAAAATAGTTTGCCTAATTACCCTAACCTGCGTAGTTACCTTAATTAACCTAGTTAAGCTTTTAAATGTCACTTTAAGCTGTATAGAAGTGTCTTGAAGAATATCTAGTCAAATATTATTTACTGTCATCATGACAAAGATAAAATAAATCAGTTATTAGAAATGAGTTATTAAAACTATTATGTTTAGAAATGTGTTGAAAAAATCTGCTCTCTGTTAAACAGAAATAGGGGGGGAAACAGGGTTGCTAATAATTCAAGCGTGCTAAAAATTCTGACTCTAACTGTGCATGCATTATCAAAGTAACTTAGAATAATAAGCTATATATACATGCATTATAAAAATAATTCCGAATAATAAGCTATATTTACTTGCATTATTAAATTAACTGAGAATAATAAGCTATATATATATATATAGCTTATTATTCTCAGTTAATTTTATATATATATATATATATATATATATATATATATATATATATATATATATATATATATATATATATATATATATATATATATATATATATATATATGCAGTATTAAATTAACTGAGAAAAATAACATATATACAGTTGAAATCGGAATCATTAGCCCCCAATTTTTGCTTAACGGAGGGAAGATTATTTCAACACATTTCTAAACATAATAGTTTTAATAACTTATTTCGAACAACTGATTTATTTTATCTTTGTCATAATAACAGTAAATAATATTTGACTAGATATTTTTCAAGATACTTCTATACAGCTTAAAGTGACATTTAAAGGCTTAACTAGGTTAATCAGGTTAACTAGGCAGGTTAGGGTAATTAGGCAAGTTATTGTATAATGATGGTTTGTTCTGTAACTATCAAAAAAATAATAAAGCTTAAAGGGGCTAATAATTTTGTCCCTAAAATGGTGTTTAAGAATTAAAAACTGCTTTTATTCTAGCCGGAATAAGACTTTCTCCAGAAGAAAAAATATTATCAGACACACTGTGAAAATTTCCTTGCTCTATTTAACATCATTTGGAAAATATTTAAAAAAGAAGAAAAAAATTCGAAGGGGCTAATAATTCTGACTTCAACTGTATACATGCATTATTAAATTAACTGAGAATAATAAGCTATAAATACACACACACGCATAAATGTCTATATCTGTATATCTACATTTAAAAAATGATGAAATATCTCTACTTTTATCATATCATATGGTCAACAATAATGCTGCTCTATGTTTCTGCTAAAATCAGTACAGTATATCTACAGGAGCTAAAAAAACAACAAATAAAACAAATTTTAAAAAATGTCATAAATAATGCTTTGTAACTGCGTCACATGAAGCGTGTCTTGCCTTGGTGAGCTGCACGGCTCTGATGTGTGTGTCTGTGTTGAAGGTGATGTGTGTGTTGCTGGTGAAGTTGGCCAGGCTGAGTTGAGTTGGTGTGAGCTGCACTGCTGCCATCTGCTGGCTGTAATGAGAACACATCACATGCTCCGACAGGATCACCACACTACTGCTGCTACACACGGCCAACAGATGAGCGCTGGAACCCCACTGCAAAATTTCAACAAACTGAGTGACAAATCAACATAATAATCTGCCTAAACTGATAGTATGACATGCTTAAAGCTAGAAATATTCCTTCCTAAACAAATCCTGATTTTTACGGTGGCTGAGAGAGCTCAAACATGCTGCAAATTAAGATAAATGTGCAAGCAAATTCTCACAACACATGCAAATACAGAAGCGCACTGCAAACTGATGTAGATGTTTTCTCAATTTTTACAGTTTTTCCGCACATTTTTTCTGAACCTGCAGTGTGTTTGGGCTCTCTCAGCCACCATAGATTCTTCTCACCTGTAGCTGTGAGATGTTTCCTTCCACTTCTGCTGGTGTCTGGAGTTTCCACTGAGTTTTGGAGTCTCCTTTCTGATCGCTCACCGTCAGCATGTGCCACAGAGCAACTCGACCCCTGCTGGTGCCTGCTGCAAGAACTTCTGCAAATAAAAACCCAAAAACATCTCAATGAGTTCTGAACTAAAACACACATATATTTTACAGTTCTCACTCACCGAGCTCCAAATGTATGTCTGAGAATGGTTGGTTAATTCTAACCGTACGTTCACACCGAAAGCGGCGACAGCGTCAAAGTAGCCGGAAGTCATTCATTTTCAATGAGAGCCGGCGGCGATAGGCGGCGAGGAGCAGTGTGGCGCGTCTTCGCCAGCGTCGAGGAGAGTTGAAATGAAGTCAACTTTATGGTAATGAGCTATGACGCGGTTCGGCGGCAAGCAATCAGAATGAAGACGTCCATCGCTTGATAGCAGTTCAGAGAACACAGACCTGTGAACTTTGGTCGCCGGATTTCCAATTATTTCTAATTTTTTCCTACAGGAACATGCATTAAATAAGTTACTGGCGACTTACTGATGTTCATTAATGTTATATAAATTTATCTTAAAAAAGCGGGAATCTCACGCAATGTGACAGTACTGCTGCTTCAGGATGTTTCAGACATATGGACACATATTGGATAAATAGAGCAAAGCCACACCACACGCAACTTGATCTTCCATTGTTGTATGAATTTGATAAGAAGTGCGCAACATTGTCACGCTAGAAACATGTTTTATGCAGGACTGTCTTCTTTAAATACGAGATCAATGTAGCGAGTTTTGACGCTCTCGCCGCAGGAGCTGAAGGCAGAGAGCGTTGTCGCCAGGGCGGCCAGAGCGACCTTGGACGCTCTCGCCGCTTTCGGTGTGAACGTACGGTAACAATACAAGAAGTCCTGAGAGGATTTAGCACAATTTGCAGAGACGGTGTTGTAACTATATACTGCACAGGTGACATCAAAATTATTACATCGTATTTACTTCTATTTTATTTCCCCCTTTTTTAAATATTTCCTAAGCTTAGACATTTTTACCAGATTACAAATAAAAAATTTTCTTCTGAGGAAAGTCTCATTTTTTTTGGCTAGAATGAAAGACTTTTTTTTTTAATAGTTTTAAACCATTTTAAAGGGTCACTGTCACACTGTTAGGACACATATATTTCACAAAAGTGAAAATGTGTTGTTTTTGCGTTACTTCGAGCAAATTCGTTTAAAATGAATTTTTGAAGCTGCGTCACGCCAATTAGGTCCTTACGTGTACTCCAGTGTACAGAGTGGATGTCTGTACCTGCGAGTGCATCGTGACGTCTCTGAGTGTGCAGCATTAATTCATGAGAAAAACTTGGTTCAAACCAATCAGCGCGCTCTATTGTGAAGAGGTGCAACTTCATTAATATGCATGACAGCTTCGAAGACCTGTTTACCTGTTACGCCTGTTTCACACCGCAAGCGTCAGCGGCGCGTGAGCAGAGCAGAAGCAGCACGCAGGTGTTTGCCTTTTACAACAGCTGCGTCTGCAGCGCGCAGCTCTTCGGCAGCTGCTGCTGAGATCAACCTATCTCTGTCTATTCTATCTAGTTACATATGTCTCTCTATAAACAAATACACAAAGCCGATTAAAACTTTCTTGCTATGCTTGAGCTGCACCGCACACAGCGAGCTCACATAATCCAGCATGCGTGCCGAACAACACTACCCACAATACACTTCGCTATGGACTACAACTCCCCTAAATATTCTATTTCCTTTGGAGGATGCAGCCTCTGAAGTGAGACCCAGCTATAAAGAGTAGTTTAAAATTGTGTGTAAATTGGTGTGCAAGTCTTACGTTTAGAAGTGCAAAAAGAAACACAGTTGAGCCGTTCTCCTTTCTCAAAGCCCAGAGATTCATCCAGTGATAGAGCGTAATGATCATCCAGCTCCACATGCCACAACCTACAGACACACACCAGCATCAGAATATTATATTATATACTATTAACACAAACTACTATTATAATTATTTTTATAATTATTATTAACTAGTAGACCTGATGTGGAGTTCTCCTGATGCTGTGATAAGCAAACCGCCTTCTGTCCACACAACGTCTGCATTCGGCCCTCCTCTGCCACTCAGCTTCACCTGCACACACATATTTAGAAATCTAACTGGCTGCTTTCATAAACCGCTGACATGCAAGATGTTTTCTGATTGGCTTTTACCTTGCTGATCTCCTGAGCGAAGCCTTCTGGTCCGAGACTGAACTGTGAAAGCTGCAGTGAGTCTGTAACTACAGCGAGAGCAGATCTTCTCTTGGAGTACCACATCTTATGTACGGCACTCTCAACTGACAGCAAAGGCACACTCTTCACCTGCTCATCCACACTGTACACACTCCCTAAAACACACACATGCACAGTGTGAACAAACCCTGAGCTACTGAAGGTCGTCAGTAAACCGTCTCTCACCATCTGCTGTGCTGATGTAAAAAGCAAGTCCTTCCTGAGATCCCAGAGCAAACGCTGCTCCTTTACTGCTCTTCTTCCAGTTAAACATGTCCAGAGCATTTTCATCCCCGCTAACAGCAGCACGGGCCAGCATCGCTACATCCCTGCAGACATATGAAACACACAGGAGGAGGCTTAGGACAGATTTCCTAATAAAGCAGCTAAGAAAAAGAAGTGCGCATAAAGTTTAGGAAATCTTGTAGCACAGTTTCAACATTCGCCAATCCAAATTTATTCGATTAAATTAATGAAATATTACAGCAGTTCAAAATAAATGTTTTTTTAAGTTAATATATTTTCAAATGTAAAGTATTTGTGTGATGCAATGCTGATTTTTTAACTTCAGTTTCAGTATCACATGATTTTAAAATGAATACTTCTTACTAAAAGATTATATTTAAGTGTGAAATGAATTAGTATGTTAGTCAAGACTTTAGAGCTTAATTTATTAATTTTCTTTGGGTTTATTCCCTTTATTTATCAGGGGCTGCCACAGTGAAATGAACCGCCAACTTATCCAGCATATGTTTTCCACAGCGGATACCTTTCTAGCAGCAACCCAGCACTGGAAAACACCCATACACTCACATTCATACACATACTTTAAGGACAATTTAGTTTACCCAAATCACCTATAGCGCATGGGTTTGGACTGTTGACTGTGCACCCGGAGGAAACCCACACCAACACTGGGAGAACACGCAAACTACACAACTGAAATGTCAACTGACCCAGCTGGGACTCAAACTAGTGACAATCTTGCTGTGAGGGAACAGTACTAACCACTGAGCCACTCAACTTTAAATGTGTTGTATTATAATAAAGCACAATAATAAATATTGTTTCTCAACCACATTCCTGGAAAGCCACCAACACTGCATGTTTTGGAAGTCTCCTTTATCTGTCACACCCATTACAGGTCTTCCAGTCTCAGCTAATGAACTGATGATCTGAATTAGAGGTGTTTGGTTACATGGATGGAAAATGTGCAGAGCTGGTGGTCCTCCAGGAACGTGGTTGAGAAACACAGGTGTCCTTCCAAAAAAAAAAAAAAATACAGCAGCATGTAGATTCTTAAAACATCTTCTTAAAACATTTACTAACAAAACTGCTCAGGAACCATCATGGCATTGATGCGACAGATAAATGAGACTCACTCAGCAGGTGGTGGAGGTCTGAAGATGCAGCAGGTCAGCGGTCTACTGTAGTCATGTTTAATCAGAGGAGATCCCTGCAGTTTCCCTCGAGCGTCCACCTTCCACACCGCCATCACACCAGCCTGCAGAACACACACATCCACACTCAGCACATGACAACTGCAAACACAATCATATAATGTGATCTGGAGAAACAGCGACCTGATCTCCGGTGACCAGTCTGCTGCCGTTACTGCTCCACTCCAGCACTGTGATGCAGGCGGTGTGTGTGTTGTTGGGCAGGGGTGTGTGTTCACCAGACGGGTGTGAGAGGAGGATGGTCTCACCCGTCTCCCACCCCACCGCCAGCAGGGGTTTATTTGGGTGCCACTGCAGAAGCGAGGGGCTGAATCCCCGTTCTACATGACACAGCTCGACATGTTCACCCTAAAACAACACATAAATAAACATTAGAGAGAACAGTAAAACCTTTAATAAAGAACATGATCTGTATAATAAAAACACTGACATTTTAAAGCAGGTTGCTGTGCAATATTAGTGGAAACTTTGATACATTGTTATTAGGATTCCCTGATGGCATTATGTATTACAATTACTTTCAATTAATTTAATGCATTTTTGTAGAATAAAATTATTTTTATCGTTTCATTATTATTATTATTTATAAAAATAAGAAAAAATCTGTCATCATTTACTCATCCTCCACTCGTTCCAAACCTGTCTGAGTTTCTTTCTTCTGTTGATTATATAGTGAAGAATGACTGGTATAAAGCAGACTTCCATGGTAAATTTAGTTCCTACCATGGATGTCAGTGGATGCTTTTTACAACATTCTTGAGAATATCTTATTTTGTGTTCAATAGAATTTTTAAAAATCTCATTTAAAGTGGAAAAAAACTAACGACAATCAAATAAAAAAAAATACAACTTAAGAAAGAGTAAATGAAAAATTTGGGGTAAACTATCCCTTTAATAGGCGACGCAGTGGCGCAGTGGGTGGCACGTTCGCATCACAGCAAGAAGGTCGCTGGGTCGATTCTCGGCTCAGTTGGCGTTTCTGTGTGGAGTTTGCATGTTCTCCCTGCGTTCGCGTGGGTTTCCTCCGGGTGCTCCGGTTTCCCCCACAGTCCAAAGACATGCGGTACAGGTGAATTGGGTAGGCTAAATTGTCTGTAGTGTATGAGTGTGTGTGTGGATGTTTCCCAGAGATGGGTTGCGGCTGGAAGGGCATCCGCTGCGTAAAAACTTGCTGGATAAGTTGCCGGTTCATTCCGCTGTGGCGACCCCAGATTAATAAAGGAACTAAGCCGACAAGAAAATAAATGAATATCCCTTTAATATTTTTTTCTTACTCCAAACATTTTAACGATAGAGTAAACATTTCCACAAACACTGAAGCAGCACAACTATACTGAAGGATTATGTGAGACTGATAACTTTAGTAATTATGTTGAAAATTACATTTTAAAATGAACACAAACAGGAATCAGTTGTTTAAATTGTAATATATCATAAAGTTGTTGCTTTCTAAAAGTCACCAAGAAACAGAAGTTAAGATTGTTTCTTTATTCCCATATCGTGACATAGATTCAATTAAAACGGCCCTGAAATTAGAAAAAAATTTAAGGCGGTGCATGATTTTGTCCTTTAGGAATTGATTTGAATATTGGAAGATGGGTGTTGCTACCAAATTGAAGAAAGATCGGCGAAGACGGACGAAAGCAGGACAGAAACGAGACCTGATAGCTTCTCCTGAAAGATATTACATGTGACCAGAAATGAAGAAGAGTAATTTCGAGGGTACAGGGAAGTTTATGGTCTTCAACAAAAGACTATTAGAAGAAATTAATTTTTACAAAGTAATGAAGTGAACACACACACATCATTTTTAACAAGCACTACTACACTACCTGACAAAAGTCTTGTCGTCTATCCAAGTTTTAAGGATGACAAATAACTTGACTTCTAGTTGATCAATTGATATCAGAAGAGGCTTATGTGAAAGGCAAAGGCCTCTAGATTACGCTTATTTGACCAAAATAAAATATGATCATGCCTTGATTTTTAATTATTTAATAAGGACAGTAAGGTCTTACCTTGCTTAGACAAAAGTCTTGTCACTAAACAGAAATAATGTCCAGTATAGAATATAAAGTCCTGCTGCAGTGGAAGAAGAATGAATATTGTGTCTGACTCCATCATGAGCTTGGAGGACTGCATCCATACATCTCTGACATGACTCAAATCACTGATTAATAAAGTCATATTGGAATGGGAAAGAAAGATTTCTTGCAAGGACTCCCAGAGTTCATCAAGATTATTTGGATTCATCTTCAATGCCTCCTCCTTCATTTTACCCCAAACATGCTCAATAATGTTCACTCTGGAGACTGGGCTGGCCAATCCTGGAGCAGCTTGACCTACTTTAAGGAACTTTGATGTTGAGGCTGAAGTATGAGAAGGAGCGCTATACTGCTGTAGAATTTGCCCTCTTCTTCGGTTTTTAATGTAATGGGCAGCACACATGTCTTGATACCTCAGGCTGTTGATGTTGCCATCTGCAGATCTCTCGCACGGCCCCATACTGAATGTAACCCCAAACCATGATTTTTCTTTCACCAAACTTGACTGATTTCTATAAGAATCTTGGGTCCATGAGTGTTTTAATAAGTCTTCTGCAGATGATTCAGCAAAAAAATGATCTTCTGCCACTTTTCCAAACGATCAACTAGAAGTCAAGATATTATTTGTTGCTCTTATGTCAGGTAGTGTATATAATATAAAAATAACAAGAGCAACTTTTAATTTCATGAAAACTTTAAATATTTGTCTAAAACCTACAAATTTTCACTGTCAATGTATACACACCTCCCAATATATATTACAGTGATCATGTCTTACCTGCTGCAGGTAAAGATCCACACAGCCCCCAGTAGAGGGGTTCACAGAGCCCACGGCCAGCACACACACACTGGAATGCCATGAGATGAGGACCGGCACTCCACTGCTGTCAGGAGCCTCCGCTCGGTGATCAAAATACACAGCCATGAGCTACAAATCTACAACAAAGCTGTATCAGTGTCATAAAACACATTATATAACAGTCATTTAACGTGCATTATAGTGAATAACATACAGACCTAGCAGCTATATTGTAAAAAAAAAAAAAAAAAATATATATATATATATATATATATATATATATATATATATATATATATATATATATCAAACTCTTGATAGTTTTGTTTGGTTAACAAAAGGTTTGAGGTGGTGCAGTCACAAAATATATTTTAATATTAATATATATTTACTCAACTATATATATTTAAGATGATAGTTTGATACTATTTGTTTACCATGTGATTATACATTGGAATTTAAATGAACGTGTAATTTAACATAAACAATGTATTACTTACACGTTAGTATTAAAAACAACAACGTACTGACATGTTATTAAGACCAAAATCATGGTATTTCCATGGTATACAAGTATATAAGTCGTGACTCCTTAAAGTTAACGGTTCGCCTCTCAGATAAAGTTGTAGATAAGACGTATCTCTGAATCTGAGAAAACCAGTTCAATAGACTAACGTTCAAACATTAAACTTTTTCAGTGTCGGTAGCGAAATGTAGAAGTACAATGGTTCGTATCTGTTTACAAGATGTTAGTTGTGCTGCTAGCTGTGTTAGCTAATCCATACCGAGGCCTGCCGCTTTAAAACGTTTTAAATAGCGACTGTTTGAATGATTTAACGTTACCTGCGACCTCTTCTCCTCGGGACTCCTGTTATATCCCAGTGTTTTTCGAGCAGCATATGTCTGAATTTGACAATTATAAAAGATATTAGCCCTTCGGTTTTACGACGCGCCTCTAGCTGTGAAGCGTCTTTTACGGTTGCCCAGACAACGATAAGGAGAGGAGAAGAGGAGGGCGGGGTATAACGGGACGCGGACGCTGCGTCTCGACCAATGAGGTGCAGCGAGTGGAATAACTAATGAGTTGGGTTTTGTAATGCAATAACAAACAGCTAATAGAACTTACCACCATACTTCTACAGTTGACTGATTACATATAGAATCACATACTTTATGTTTTCAAAAATGCTGTCAAAGATGCAAATGAAGCACTATTTAATTAAACATGCGCTAATTTGCATATTCTTCTAGCACAAAAACATTACAAACATTAGATTTCCCAATTATTGTTTTACTTCCATATAGTTTGATATACTGACTCAAATCTTTTTGCACATAGGATTTTGGGAATATTTCTATTACTGTAAATTCAGAAGACACAAGAATACTGCCAGTAAACAGTATGTTTCTTGAACAATGTATTTAATGAGGCAAATTAAATACCAACACATGCCTATGTAAAAACCTTCAAACTACAGACATGATTAGAACTGTGAAGAACTCTTTAAGTAGAAATGTGTGTTTTTTTAAGAAAACAGCGTGTAAATACATGCAGTTGAAATCTGCAGACACAAATTGATAGTGCAATGAAATAAAAACTGTAACTTTATTTGTTGTGTTATTCCATTAGACTGAAGAAAAAACACTTCATGAAAAGCCAAAACTCTCAAAACTGACATGTGCATGAAAATAAATGTAGTAGTTTTTTTTGCATGCACTTACTTCCCTTAACATATAGTAAACCTTAATCCACTTTATTAGGTACAAGAACTAAAACCAAGTACAAGTACTAGAACCGGGTTGGACCTGCTTTTGCTTTCAGAACTGCCTTAATCCACAAGGTACTGATTTAGCAAGGTACTGGAAATATTTCTTAGAGATTTTAGTCCATATTAACATGATAGCATGACGCAGTTGCTGCAGATTTGTAGGCTGCACATCCATGATGTGAATCTCCCGCTCCACCACATCCCAAAGGTGCTCTACCGGATTGAGAGCTGGTGACTGTGGAGGTCATTTGAGTACAGTGAACTCATTGTCATGTTCAAGAAACCAGTCTGAGGTGATTCACGCTTTATGACATGGCGTGTTATCCTGCTGGAAGTAGCCATCAGAAAATGGGCACACTGTGGTCATAAAGAGATAGACATGGTCAGCAACAATACTCAGGTGGGCTGTGGCGTAGACACGATGCCCAATTGGTACAAATGAGCCCAAAGTGTGCAAAGAAAATATCCCTCACACCATTACACCACCACCACCAGGCTAACTGTTAATACAATGCAGGATGGATCCATGCTTTTATGCTGTTGACACCAAATTCTGACCTGACCATACGAAGGTCAGCAGAAATGGAGACTCATCAGATCAGGCAACGTTTCTCCAATCTTCTATTGTCCAGTTTTGGTGAGCCTGTGTGAATTGTATCCTCAGTTTCCTGTTCTTAGCTGACAGGAGTGGCACCCGGTGTGGTCTTCTGCTGCTGTAGCCCATCTGTCTCAAGGTTGGACGTGTTGTGCGTTCAGAGATGCTCTACTGCAGACCTTGGCCATTCTCCTCTGACCTCTGGCATCAACAAGGCATTTGCGCACACAGAACTGCCGCTCACTGGATATTTATTTATTTTCGGACCATTCTCTGTAAATCTAAGAGATGGTTGTGCCAGAAAATCCCAGTAGATCAGCAGTTTCTGAAATACTCAGACCAGCCCGTCTGGCACCAACAACCATGCCACGTTCAAAGTCACTTAAATCACCTTTATTCCCCATTCTGGGGGTTTGAACTGATCGTCTTGATCATGTCTACATGTCTGGATGCATTAAGTTGCTGCCATGTGATTGCCTGATTAGAAATTTTCGTTAACAAGCAGTTGGAGAGGTGTACCTAATAAAGTGGCCAGTGAATGTATATTCACAATTCGAAGTGTAAACTTCACTGCATTGGGCGTTGAACTGCATTGTAAAGTATACTTACTTTTGCTACTTATACTTTCATATCAGACTTAAAACTTAAAACATCAGCTTAGAGTGAATTTAGGTCACATTAAAGCTTCTCTGAGTGAAATATAGATGAGAAGCAGATTTAGGGTAACCTTTAATAAGGCTTTGTCACACAAAAAAAAATCACAAATGTTAAGAACGCTTTAATGTCTCAAACATTAAATACACAAAATAACACATAATGAAATTAGAGATGCATCAGTCCAGAGCGATAAACTCCTAAATCTTCGCTCCGGAAGATCCTTTATTGTATTCACCTGTTCATTTTGAGATGTGATAACCTGTCAGAAGTGTCAGAAATACACAGAGATGTCCATCATGTCTCCATATCTGGGATCTGCAGCTGAGATTTGAGGTTTTTGTCCATCAGCATTAAACTCTGTACAGCCAAACTCCTGCAGTCGGAGTCACAGTCGCTCTCTGCCACATCTGCACACAAAAACCCAGCATCACTCACATACACACAGATCAAGACTAAACTATTCGCCCTTCTGTAAGTCTTTTCCAATTATTTTCCAAGTGATGTTTAACGGAAAAAAGTTTTTTTTAAAGATTAGTTAATCATGTTAATTCATGCTACAAACATATTAAATCATGCTATAAATGTTTGCTTTCGCGTTTCTAGCATGATTTAATATATTTGTAGCGTGAATTAACATTTTATTTGCAAAAATGAACATTTCTGGCATGTTTCAAGCAATAATTTAACATTTTGGTCAAAATCCATGCTAATTCAAGGTAGAAACATGGAAGTTCTTGTCAGAAAACTAAATTTTTTACTATTTTAAACATGTCAAATCATGCTTATGCATGCTAATAAGGCCTTTAAATTTCACTTTAAGCTCAATACAAATATCTTGCAAGATAACTATTAAAATATTTTATACTATCATCATGGCAAAGAAAAAAGAAATTAGTAGTTAAAACTATTATATTTAGAAATGTGTTTTTAAAACAACAGGGCTAATAATTGTATATATAATTTTATACAGGGATAATAACTAACAATAAAAAATAAATTAATAAATAATTATTATAAATAATAATAATTTTATGTCTGAAAAAGAATTAAAAATTCACGAGAGGGCAAATAATTGTGTCTTCCACTGTATACAGTCTGTACCTGCGAGCCAGGCTCTGGTCTCCATCAGATCATCACCCAGTTCTGTAAGCAGGTTCTCACTGGGCATGCTCAAAAACACAGCGCAAACCGCAAACATAACCCCCCTCCTCACCATCCTACAAGACGAAAGAGAGTGTGTATGAAATGACATGAATATACAAGTGAGATAATGCATCATAGAAGACAGACTTACTGGTCAGTGTGGAAGCGAACGGCCCACACAAAGTCCAGCAGAGCTCTGCCCATCTGAGACACAACCTGAGGGAAAAAAAGCATTCATACAATCTCACTCCAGATAGAAAGATATACAGTTGAGATTTTTCTCAGAACAAGTATTTCCATTTTTATGACTTTCATCATTTTTCATTATTATTTTTATTTTAAAAAAATTCTGAAACAAGATTTTTGCAGTTGTCTTTTATCCTTTCTGGGAGGAGAGTATTTGAAATATTTCATGTATTTTCGTTTACTCAGAGCTGAGGTAGTTATTAATGTTAGGTAAACTAAGGGCACGTTTACACTAGTGCGTTTTAGTTTGAAAACGCATAAGTTTTGCTACAGTTACGCCATCCATCCACACTACGCCGGAGTTTTCAAGCGGCGAAAACGGAGCGTTTTGGAAACGCTGGAGAGGCTGTTTTCATTCTGAAACGCTGCTGCTCCGTCTCAGTGTAGATGAGGGAAAACGGAGACATCTGTAAACGGAGGCGGGGCTGCAGAGATTCGCTACCTGATTGGGGCTTTTGTGTCATTGCGTATCCTTCCCTTATTCGTCAAGCCCCTATCACATGACTATAACACATGGCTTTAACGCTACCGGAAGACAGCAGATCAGCCTTCAGTGTAAACAACAACATGGACACAGAAATGGGAGCGTTGTTTGCACTATTGTCTGTTTTAGGCGCCATTGTGCAGTTATTCATTTGTTACGTTTAGTAACAACTCGACCTCGTCGTCTGTCCACAAAAATACCTCTCTTGCTTTTTTTGACATCGCGTTCATTGTTCAACCGGTGTTTGTTGACTAACAATAACCAAATGCTGAGCGAGACACATGCTTTCTGTTTATACTAGACCGCGCATACACAGAGTGTGCGAATGGTCAAGTGATATACGTTTTTGGTGGCGTAGTGTGGACGGAGATATGTTCAGAAACGCTAGTTGAAACACTAGTGTGGATGCGGATCGTTTTTGATCTAAAGTGCTGTTTTAAAACTAAAACGCACTAGTGTAAACAGGGCCTAAGTCTCTTGGAGGTGACTTGTTCACTTAAACCATTTTTTAAACCATTCAGCCAAATTCTTGCTCTGGCAGGGTCAGTTGTAGCTTAGCACAATTTATGTTTACTCTGATTTGGCAATTAGCATCACGTAAAAAAAGAAGCATTTAGATAATTTTCCTGAAGTCATCTTTAGTTACATTGGGTAATAAGACTGAAAGAAAATGAAAAGTTACTATTCTAGGTCGGTATTACTAGGAACTATACTTTCATTCTGCTGTAATAGTCAAGAAAAAAAAATGCTGCGGTAAAAAAGGAAAATTATAAGTTGTTTTGTTAATCTTTTGGAATTAAATGCTAATGGTCTAATCCAATTCAATTCATTATGCTAAGCTAATTTTTTTTTTTTTAAATGCTTTAAGTCAACTGTTTAACTCTAGGAGACTAGTAAAATGAGTTTTTTTTTTCAAAAACCATAGAGTGTTCCTTTAATCCACTTTAATACTTACATAACACATTGAAAAATATATTGGAAAAAACTGTAGTGTTACTTGGGGTTATCACAAGAGTTATAAATTTTATGCCCTTCCACGTGCAACCCAGTACCGGGAAACACCAATACACTCTCATTCACTCATACACTACGGCCAATTTAGTTTAT